CTCCCGGCCCCGCGACAGCCCTGCCGTTGGGAACGTGGACAGAGACGCCGGCCGGGCGCCCGCTCACCTGCTGCCCGGTGACCAGGGCGATGCAGCCGTCCTTGCCGTGGACCACCTGCCGGAAGAGGTGGTCCAGGATGAGCAGCTCGCTCCAGCAGTTCTGCAGCAGCTTCATCTGGTCGTCCACCTGCGGAGACAGGAAGCCGCCCCGTGAGTCACCGCGCCCGGGTTCCTGCGTCATCACCACAAAAGAGAATTAAAAAAAAAATGATTGATGTCAGAGGGGGAGCGAGGCCCCCGCCGGTGTGGCTCAGTGGGTAGGGCCGCAGACCTCGGAGTGAAGGGCTCCCCCCCGGGTTTGATTTGGGTCGAGGGCGTGCACCCCGGTTGCAGGACTGGCCCCTGGGCCTGGTTTGGGCTCAAGTGGGAGGCAGCTAATCGATGTGTCTTTCTCTTCCCCTCTCCCTTCCACTCTCTCTCTCAATTAATGGAAAAACATCCTTGGATGAGGATTTTTAAAAAAGAAAGAAAAAAGGGAATATCCTTGATGGGTAAGTAAAAGAAAGACAGGAGGGGAGAGAGAAACATTAATGATGAGAGAGAATCACGGACCGGCTGCCTCCTGCACGCCCCGCACTGGGGAGGGAGCCTGCAATCCGGGCCTGTGCCCTGACCGGGGATCGAACCCCGACCTCCTGGTTTGGGCTGGTTCTGTGTCGTTTTTGCACATAAGGGCACTCACTACAGGCAGGCGGTCTAGGTCCACGGCCTCCAGAGCGGAACGTGCTCCCCTGAAAGGCGTTCTTTCCATCTGGACAAATGCCCCTTCGTCCACAGAGAAGTCCTCGCGCTCGAGATTTACGATCAATGAGCTGCTAGGAGGAGGCCCTCCATTAGCCCGTCCCCCCAGCGCTAATCGAGCTCTGAGAGTGGGCCTGTGGGGCCGGCGGGCGCCTGCGCCTGTCCTCCGTGGGCCCTGTCGGAATGACCCCAAATAGCCCGCGGGGCTTACGCATCTTGACCGACGCCAACTCAGCGAACCCAGGCACCGCCAAGCTGCCCGGCCGAGGGTTTAGAGCAGCGGTTCTCAACCTTCTGGCCCTTTAAATACAGCTCCTCCTGTGGTGACCCCCAACCATACAATTATTTCCGTGGCGACTTCATGTGGCTACTGTGATGAATCGTCATGGAAATATCTGATCTGCAGGATGGTCTGAGGCGACCCCTGTGAGAGGGTCGTTCGACCGCCAAAGGGGCCGCGACCCACAGGTTGAGAACCGCTGGTTTATAGGAATGACGGTCCAGCGACTTTCGGCGATGGGGGCGCCGCCACGGTCTGCGGTCGGCTTAAGAATATGTTTTTGTTGGTTTTTGCTTTAGAGGACGGGAGCCACTGAGCCACCCCGGCTGGGGCTGAAGGTGGTTTGTCTTCGGGTGGAGGGGCAGGAGGAGAAAACCCAACTGGACTTTGGAGTGAATTTCCCGGGTGCTGGTGCCGTCCACCCGTGTTTAGGGGGCCGCTTGGGAAGGGGGGGCCCGTGGTGTGGAACTGCCCCATCTCCCCGACCCTCTCCCCAGAACTAGCCCCCGCAACCCCGCAGCCCCGTGTTATCAGCGGCAATAAAGGCGAGAGCTGATCTCAGCAGCCTCCTCGTCCCCGGGAAACTATTCACCCCGACGGCGTGGACGGCGGACGCCCAGCCAGGGAACACAGCCTGGCACTGTGTGTGGGCGCAGCCCCACCACCGAGGGTTAATCATTAGAGACGGTGCCTTCTCGCCTTCTCCTCAGGACGGGGTGAGGGTGGGGGTGCGGGGAGACGATTGTGTGGGTCTGTCTTGAGCCCACAGTTGCCCCCTCCCCGTCCCTTTCGGCCCAATCTGGGGTTCGCTTGTGCCGGGGGCATTGAAAGTGGCCATGGAGCCCGGCCGGCGTGGCTCAGTGGTTGAGCGTTGACCTATGAACCAGGAGGTCCCGGTTCGATTCCGGTCAGGGCACATGCTCGGGTTTCGGGCTCGATACTCAGTGGGGGGCGTGCAGGAGGCAGCCGGCCCATGATTCTCTCTCATCATCCATGTTCCTCCCTCCTCCTCCCTCTCCCTGCCTCTCTGACACCAATAAAAATACATATTTTTTAAAAAGTCAGTGGCTTTGAGTTGGGCGGTGGTGGGATATTTCCAGGGTGGGGCCAACGTTGGTTGACAGCAGTTCGCCTGGGAAATAACTAATAAATAACTAATAAATAACATGGCAGGAATCCCAGGTACAACTGTAAACCTACGTCTGCCCCCGCCCCTCCTCTATTAGCTAAACCATGGCCGCTCACGTCTTTACACTTTAAATGATGAGAAATGTGGCGGAAGCATCAAATGCAGATTGCTGTGAGGAGTATCTGAATTACAAATGAGCGTGTGTGTCCCTTCAGAGGAGGCAGCTTTGGCATGAACCCCTCAGGCCGAAATTCACGGCTTTAGGTTTCAGAAGTCCCTCCTCACTCCGCCCAGCCCTCCCTCTAGGTAAACCTATAGGCAAACCCGTGACAGTTGCTTATGTGGCGACGAAAATACCATTTCATGTTGCCGATGGCCGGATACCAAGTGACCACTAGAAACCTGAGTTCAAAAAAAAAACCCCCACAAAAAACCTGGTAGAAAAATGGTGACTTTCCCCCCCTTGAAATGAAAAAAAAAAAAAAATCAATGTTATTTAAAAAACAAAACGGAACAGAATTCCACGACCCCAAACCTTCTAGACTGCAAAGCCCAGATGCCCGTGTACGGCCTGAGTTTCGTTTCTTGGGTCAGAGCGGGTCTCCTAATTTCAGGGGGAAAAAAACCCCCAAAAAACCCAGAACGCGTTTCCGGCAGCTTGCCTACCTGTTAGCACCCGATTAATAAACAGAAAAGCTTTGTGGGCGCACACCCCGTGTTCTGGGGGCTTCCGTCCGCAGGCTGACCGCGAATTGCGGGAGCTGCGCCCACACGCATCCCTCACGCGGTCGCCACGGGTGCCGCCTGGACGTGCCGGCGTGGGAATTCTCTCTCCCTCACGCAGCGCGCCGCCGCGGGTCTGAGACGCTCTGATGTGAAATCAGACGCTCTCAACACGTTCTTACAACTCCTTCCGAAGAACGGATCGACTTTTCTGTGTGTACGAGACACAGCGAGGGCCTGTGTGGGGGTTGTTGTTGTTGTTTTTTGTTTGTTTTTTTCAGTTGAATTCCTATTTTTGCAGCTCACGGCTATTTTTATTTTATTATTATTTTTTAGATAAATATTTATATACACAAATATACGTATATATGTGTGTGTGTGTATATATTGATTTTAGAGAGGAAGAGAAGAAGAGATAGAAACACTAATGGTGAGAGAGAATCATGGACTGGCCGCCTCCTGCATGCCCCCCACTGGGGATTGGGCCCACAACCTGGGCCTGTGCCCTTGACCGGAATCGCACCCGGGACCCTTCAGTCCGCAGGCCGACCCTCTATCCACGGAGTCACACCGGCCAGGGCGTCACTTGCTGTGTTTTCACAATGACAAATGGGAAACACATCACTAACTGGTACAAAGTATCCTGGTGGGAAACATCTCGTAACAACAACAGAAAACGGTCATTGTTTCGTCCTCAGGGGGGGACTTGCCTGCGTAGCAAACCCGGCCCTCGCGTCTCGAACGCACACACGTCCGACCTTTACGAAGCGCGTCTCCCACACATGCATCTGCTCTCAGCCTTGTCCCCGTAGCCAGGGCTTTTCCAAGACCAACGATGACAGACGTCCTCTCACAGACGGGCTTTGGGGGGGCGGGGCTGGGGGAGCCGTCACCTGTCACCCGGTGCCGTTCGTTCCCCGGGGGGGGGCCCTCTCCGCTCTCCCTGGCATTTAGACCTAAAGAAAGCTCTGGGACAGAGTCCGTCCTCCGAGAAACCAGAAATCAATGCCACCCGCCACCTTCTGGGAACCGGGGGCCACTCCCTCGGCCACCCCGCTCCCCCCCACCCCCACCCCGTGACCTCCAGCTCGTCAAGATTTAATTAAGGGCATAATTAAGTCAGCGGCACGGAATGCTAACGAGCGTGTTTCTGTAATGTGGGTAATTACACGCTCACATACATGAGCCCTTAGCAGGCTGGTCGGATGACAGAGCGGGGAGCGTGCCTGGCGGGCGGAGGCCTGGGGGCCGGAGGCACAGAGCCGACCCAGGCGGAATGAGCTCGGGCAGGGAGTTTACGGGGCCTCATGCTGCCAGCATTTGTTATTCTAATTCTGCAACAATAAGCGGACCCCGTAGGACGGAGGCCCCGTTGCTCCCGGGGCTTTGAAGCGTCTCTGCCTCTGGGCAGCCTTCTGTCCGGCTGTCCAGGAGCCGCCCAGCCCAGCCTTGGGCTGCAGGGGCCCGGCCCCGTGGAGGTGGCCCTAGGAGCCAGCCGGGGCCTGGACAGATGTGCGGCCCGGGCTCCTCCGCGCTCACAATGAGCCTCTCTGCTGCCAGCAGAGCCTTTAATGGGGGCCCGGCTGTGTGAGGCGGGGACACAGCCCGCACCCCGGGGGAGGGTCAGCCCGCACCCCGGGGGAGGGTCTGGACGACTGACGCGAAGTTGGTACCGTTTCTAACAGGAAAGGGAGGCATCTGGGCTCCAGGCAGCCAGAGGATGCCAACGACCACAGGGATTCGTTCCGCGATCGGGACCCAGCTGTGCGGGGTGGGGCCCGCCCTGTGCTGGGTGGGGGTGTGTGTGGGTGTGTGAGCTCTGGTCCCCCAACGGGGAGCTGGGTGGGTGGGCGGCCTTTGCATCCATCTGTCACTGGGGTCCCTCAGCGCTCCGAATGATAAGCGAGTCTGAGGCTTCAAGAAAGGCGTGCGCCTGGCCCAGACAGTGTGGCTCAGTGGTGAGCGTCGACCTAGGAACCAGGAGGTCACGGGTCGATACCCGGGCAGGGCACCTGCCCAGGTTGCAGGCTCGATCCCCAGTGTGGGGCATGCAGGAGGCAGCTGGTCCGTGATCCTCTCTCATCACCGATGTTTCTCTCTCCCTCCCTCTTCAAAACCAATATATTTTTTTAAAGTTTAAGACAAACAAAAATTCAGTGCCTGTTGGCGGCCACACAGGTTGAGGCTGGACTTCTCAGGGACTCCAGCGCGTCTGGGCCGAGCCTGGGGCGTGTGTCCGTGGGGAGCATCCGCC